CAAATTAGGATTTGAACTAGTTCTATCTGATTTCAAATCATTTCCATTATACCACCTCAAGTCTGGAATGGATTTATAGTTCTTGGACCGGGATTTCAATATTCTCTTGCCATCCCTGCAGAGTAAACCATTTGGACTGCCCTCAAAGTTGTGTTGATTTAGACAGTTGCCAGGATCTATTTTAAAAGTTGGGTTCCTGTTAAAATAAAAAAAGTCCATATATGGCAATTGGTTAATATGTTGAAGAAACTAGATCCTGTAATTTCCCAGCATCTGGATTTTGTGATTGCATTCCCATGGTGGTGTTTATCATGCTGCTCTGTTCTCTGAAATTTCCAGAAATTGGTAATCAGATCTTGAGGCTGACCAGACTCACGTCTCATTTTTGGTAAGAAAACCTCGTAGGTGGTGTTGTGTACTCGATCAGAGGCCATGTAACATCAGGCTGTCTCTCTCTTTTTTTTTTTTTTTTTTTTTTTTAAAGATTTTATTTTTTCCTTTTTCTCCCCAAAGCCCCCCAGTACATAGTTGTGTATTCTTCGTTGTGGGTTCTTCTAGTTGTGGCATGTGGGACGCTGCCTCAGCGTGGTCTGATGAGCAGTGCCATGTCCGCGCCCAGGATTCGAACTAACGAAACACTGGGCCGTCTGCAGCGGAGCGCGCGAACTTAACCACTCGGCCACGGGGCCAGCCCCTGTCTCTCTCTTTTTGCGATGTTAGTAGCCACTTGTGATTTTTGCTTAGATCCCTTATTAGATCCATTATCTGGTTAGGGTGCGAAATGGTGATAGTCTATCAATTCTTTTTATTAGACTGACAATTTTTGAAAGAGAGCAACTTCCCTTCATCAACTACAGGTTACCCTGAGGTACAAGTCATTTAGGAAAGACAGGCTATACCAACAGTTCACTTTTGAAAAGGGTTTATCTGAGAGCTCCTGTGGTTTTAAGGATGCATATATTTTGCCTTTAAAGTACTTAATTGTAGCTTGTCCTACTTTTAAAATTAGACTACATTTACAGGATGCAGTGTCACATTATGGATTAATATTTACAGTTAAATGGAATATATTTCAGGATTTAGTTCTAATACCCTTAAAGAGGAATGCACGCAGAAGCATTCAACGTGCAATACGCAGCTTTCCCATGGTCAGCTGCATTTCACAAAAGCTCCTGAAATACTAAAGTCTTTTCTGAAAGGTGACCAACTAAATAATTTATGGAAACAAAGGTTCAAGTCAGTGCAAGTACTATTTTAGCAAATGTTTACTCTCTTATTCTATACAAGGAAATGTCCCATGGCTGTAATGACTTTGGAATCAGATAGACAGGGTTTGAATTCCCCTTCACTTATTATGGTGACCTTGAGCAAATTACTCTATACATCCCAAATATATAACAAGAGAGTCCGAAATATCAGCGAATACTCTAAAACATTATAAATTTTTAAAACATTAGAAAATACATATGTATTTAGCAAAAGCCCCCTTTTTATTACTTTAGTTGGGGGTGGGGGTTGAGGTAAGGAATATTGTCAATTGCCAGATATTGTTAATTAGACAAAATTAACAGTGAAAATTGCTGTGTTGAGGACATGTCATCCTTGATTCTTAGGGCAGTGGTAGTGTGGTCAGCTTTAGGCTGAAGCATTTTCACTCAGTACAGATGGAACTACATGGCAGACCAGGCAGGTCTACACCAGAGGATCCCTATAAGGCAGTGCAGAGAGAGAACTGGACCAATGCCAGAGCTAAACTTGCCTTTGTTTCCACTAAGAGGATAATGGAAGACTGAGCAGTGGTGAGACAGAAATGCACTCTAAATTGCCTAGAAAATAACCATAACATACCTAGACACTTGCCCTCTATTAGTGTTAAACTTAGCTCTCTGCCTCAACCTGCTCTGCTGTTCCCCGCTTCCCCCAGACTGAGTTGGTCCTACCCATCTCTAGTTTGGCTCCCTGCCTTACTGAAGCCCTGTTATCTCACAGTTGTTGCATCTTTTGTGATTGTGCCAACACATAGTTGTTAATTCATGGGGCATCAAAATGATTTCCAAGTCAGTGAGAAACAAGTACAAACAGTGGAAAATGTACCGCCACCCCCTAATAGTCATGGGAATCTGTTGATTAGAAGTATATTAGAATATATATTTATATAGAATACATTTATTTCTAAGTATATTAGAAAATTGAGATAACTGGGGGAACAGAGTCTAAACTGTTAAAACTCAAAAAGGATTTTACAAAGCATAGCTTATGTTTATATCTTGTCACTGTTTTAATTGTAATATGTATATTGTAAGTTCTATGGGCACTGTCTTCTTACAATTAGATTTTTATAAACTTTTTATTGAAGTGTAATACATATACAGAAAAGTGGGATTTGCATTTTTAAGGCCCTTAAGTAGTGCCACAAGGCCATAACTGCCTTATTAATTTCTGTTGTGACCCCAAATACTTCTTAAAAATTGTGAATTTATGCGATAGAACATTCTCAACCTTAAAGCAGCATTAAGTTGAGTTTTGCTGTACAGCATCACACTTAGTTTTGAGCAACGCCCAGAACAATGCAATATTTTATATTGGCCAATGTGTTTTATAACTCCTGAATTTAACAAGTTGACAACTTGAAATTAAGGATGAAGTTCGATCTAGACCTTCAAGATTATATTTTTCTATTCATTTTGACATATATATGCAACTTAGGGTATTCTTAACAACTATGTTAATTACAAAAAAAAAAAAAAAATAAAGATTTTGCAACTGGGAGTTGGAATGGAAACAATCTCTGAGACAGAGATCAAATTGTGTTTATAGACACCATTATTGCCAGATTTACTCTCAGTCATTTCCTGTGGGAATATTTCACTGGAACATAATTTTATGCTTTGTCTATTTATTAAATAGCCTGTTCCATGGAATAAAGATAATGAGAACTATAAATAATAATGTATGCAAATTATAGTGTAACATTTCACGGTATTTTCCTAGATGAGAATTAAGATTATTTAACAAACTGTTTCTTATTCATCACTGAAAGAATTTTAAAACAACACTAATACAGCATGGTCTAGTGCAGAGTTGGCAACAGACTGGAAATGAAAGTCATTTGTTTCCTTTAAAGTTGACACTAATTTTAAAAATATTTATTCATCATGTACAGTATATAAGATGCTATACTTATACTCTGTGGAAAATACAAAAGTCAATTATGGACAGTCTCCGCCCTTAAGGAGTTTAAGAATTTGTCTTGTACGGGAGATAGGGCATGCCTTGTATAAAACAAAAAACAATAAATATATTATGAGTGGGTATGAGTAAAGTACTATTGGAGTTTGGAAGAATGGAAGATCATGTCCATGTGGGAGATGAGATGACTTCTTGGAGAAGGCATTTGAATGGAGTCTTAGAGGATCGGTAAGATTTCTGCAAATAGAGATGCAGGTAAAATTATTCCCAGATGCAGAGAATAGCTATTGACAAAGGTAGTATAGATCAATGCACATTTATAGACTGGAGTCTTTGGCTTGTGCCGGAAAAAAAAAAAAAAGAATTTAGATAAATGTAGTTGGAAATAGGGTAAGTAATACATTCTTTTACTCAGTTATGCAAGCTTACTATGAGTGCTAACTATGTGTGAGCACTGTGCTAGGAGTTAGGAGTACATTCATGAGATACTCAGACAACGGCCCCTTTAAATATGTAAACACTAAAAAATGCAACTCTGAAATCAGGGATGATGACAACACTGATTCTTCCCAATCACGGATAGGTCCATTGATCTGTGGCAACAGGTGGTACTTCAGTTTACAACTGTTACATAGAGCACGGGATTCAGTGTTTTTGAGAGAGCGCTCGTATTTCCAAATAGCATGCTTTCTCAATTTCAATCCAATTGTTTCTCAACCCAGTTTTAATTAAAATGAAGTGTTAGCGGGGTGATAGGGGGGCACTACGATATTTGCGGCTTCATTTTAAAAGTTTTGGTTGACGTCAGAATTTAGCGTTAGTATACATTAATTGAAAACAAAAGAAAGAAAAATATACTTAAAAGAGACACCGGTGATGATTTTTTGGACAAAACGATTCTTCTTTATGAAAAGAAATCGCTGCAAATTTCCTTTAAATAGCTAGCTCCCTGTGCAATTGAAATGATTCGGAACGTTTCTCGAACACGTTGCGCTAAGTGGGATACACTCGTATTCATACTTTGTCCGTCACAACAATCTTAGTTTTCTCTCAAGCTAGGACTTGCTGTATTAGACACACCTCGTGCCGCGGTGGCAATGGGGAGGGTGGCGAAGGTGATGGAGAGGCAGCCAGGAGGGCACTTTCCCTTTCTCCGTCTCCCCCAACGAGGCTTTGCAGCCTCCAAACCCAGACCCCTTCCCGCTCCTTCTTTCTGCAGCCTCAACTCGCCCTGCGCCCCACAGCTCCTGTGCTCACCCTCACCCACCGTCCAGCCGCGCCCCGCGCCCACCCTCCAAACGCAGTCCCGCAGCCGCGGCCCGCGCGCCCCGTCGCGGCCCGGGCTCCGGGGCATGCGCCGTGCGCGCCGCTACCCTCCCCCTTCCAGCGGCAGAGTTATGCCAAGTATGTGAGGAGCCCGCGAGGGCCAGCGCCGGTCATGGGGAGCCGCCGCCGCCTCCGCGAGCGCGGCTTTCTCCCGAGCGGGGCCCCGACCTCTCCCCGCGCCAGGGGCGGGCCTGCTTGCTGAGGCGGAGGGGATGGCGGACCCTCTGAGGAGGACGCTGTCCAGGCTCCGGGGGAGGCGGGGTCCCCGCGCTGCCGGGGGGCTCGGGCTCCGGGCGGCCGCGGCAGCTACCGTGGCGGCCTCCTCGGCCCCCTCGCGCGCGCACCCCGGCGGAGCCCGGCCGAGCCGGGAGCAGCCCCCGCCGTCGCCTCAGGCGTGGGGTCCCGAAGCGCGGGGGCCGGGAGGGCGAGCGGGGCAGGCGGGGGCGCCCGGGCCTCGGCCGCGCGGCGGGAAGGAGGCCGCCCCCCCGGGCCGCGGGCGCCCTCGCGCCTCTGCGCACCCCGCGCCGGGCTCCGAGGGCAGCGGAGAGGACGACCGCGACGACGACGAGGACGGTGCCGACTACTACGAGAACCTGCCCGGCGGCTGCCAGCCCGCGCCCGCGCCGGAGCCCGCGCCCGAGGGGGCGGAGGCGGAGCGGCGGCCCCCGCCTCCCCCGTCGGCGGGCTCCACCCCGCGGGCGGAGGGCGGCCGCCTGGAGACGGGCAGGCTGCAGACCCAGTTGCGAGAGGCCTATTATCTGCTGATCCAGGCCATGCACGACCTGCCCCCTGACTCGGGCGCGCGGCGGGGCGGCCACGGCTGGGCGGATCGCAGCTGCCCTGCGGGAGCCGGGGCGCGGGGCCAGCCGCCTTCCCCCTGCGGCGCTGCCCACCGCCCCGCCCGCCCTCGGGACTGGGAGCGGGGAGGCGGCGGCCGCCCTTGGCAGCAGGTGTCCCCGCCCCGGTCGCCTCCGGGGGAGTCGGGGGGAGGCCGCCTGCGGACTCCTCGGATGCGACTGTCCTGCAGCAGAAGCCTCGAGAGCCTCCGGGTGGGCGCCCAGCCGCCTTCCTTCCAGCGGTGGCCGAGCGACAGCTGGATCAGGTGCGGCGGGCGCGGGGACCGGGACGAGCCCCCGCCACGTGGAGGCGGGATGCACGGCTGGAGCGGAGGCAGCGCCCGGGCCGCGGCGCCGTCTGGCCTCCCGCCTCCCAGCTCCTCGCAGCCCGGGCGCTCCTCGGGAAGCCCTTTCGGGGACCCTGCGGGGTCCTCGGGGCTGCGCAGCGGCGGAGGGGACGGCCAGGAGGGGCTGCCCTTCCTCAGGCCGCCCGCGGTGACAGTCAAGAAGCTGCAGAAGTGGATGTACAAAGGGCGCCTGCTGTCCCTGGGAATGAAGGGTCGCGCCCGTGGGACAGCCCCCAAAGTCACAGGAACGCAGGCAAGCTCTCCACACCTGGGCGCTTTGAAAATGCGAGAAAGCCATGTCCTCGCGGTGCCTCCAGACCAAAGAATTACGCTGACAGGTAGGACACTTTGCAATCAAAATGCGCACACTTCGAGCCGTAGTAGTGTTTACCAACTGGGCTTCTGGCTAAAGAGCGAAGAGTAGGTTTTGTTTTTGCAGACAGGTGGGTGTCCGTGCCAAAGCAAGTGTCAGGTAAGTGGCAGCTTAATTCGATGTCGAGGGTACTTGGATAATGCATTCACTCGATTTGCCTTTTATTTTCTTTTAAGACAGTGGCATGAGGAACTTGGAGTTTTTGTTTTTTCTTCTCTAAGAACCCGTGTTTCTACTCCTAAGCACAACAGTGAGTAAAGGTTAAGTTCATCACACGCTTTTAGTAGGTTTAGAGTTGGGCGGGGCCGCCTTGATTTCTATTCTTTGTAGCTCTAGGCAAATCCATAGACTTTTGTAAAGTTTGTGCATTTGAATTTGATCCAGGGTAGACTTTATGGGCTTCATAAACTGTCATTTTTCTCATTACACCTTTTTTCCCTGTCTCTTCCAGGCACCCGCACATACAGACACTTACATGCAACCCAAACCAAACCAAACCAAAAATCTACCAGAGTAAAATTTCTTTTTAGTCAGGTAGGATTTCCTGTGCTTCTTTTCTCCACCTTTCCATCCCCTCACCCCCACCCCCCCCACAAAAAACCCAGCAAAGTCAGTAAGCTTTTTATTGTGGAAAATCAAGGGCCCTAGTATTTTAATCAAAAGACAAATGGCCCTTATGTACTTGTTAAGAAAGTGCAGACATTTAAAGTCATTTGTAAACTTAAGTATATATGTCCTTCCAATAGGATTTTGCTGCCTATTTTGTATGTCGTGATTTTTAATTTTCCCAGAAGATTTAGGTTATGAATTCTGGAAATCTCTTAATTATGTTCTAAATAGCAAAAATTCTCTTCTAAAAGTAGTACCTTCAAACTGAGCCAAAACCAACATGATCTTTCGAACTACTCTTAAATGTAAAGACTTTTAGTGAACATAATAACTCAGGTGTCAGTGATAATTTTAAAAATATTAAATGCTGAAATGTAAAAAGTTTTCACAGTACTTGTCAGTTTCTCTGGTAAGAATTAGAAATCTTACAGGACTGGGTTTATACACATTAACCTTGTTTAACCAGTAAACACAAAAACAGTGGGGAGAAACAAAGTTCACAAAACTTCTAATTATACAATGAGGACAAATCAAATGATTCATTTATTTTATTTTTTTTTTGGTGAGGAAGATTGGCCCTGAGCTAACATCTGTTGCCAATCTTCCTCTTTTTGTTTTTGAGGAAGATTGTCTGTGAGCTAACATCTGTGCCAGTCTCCTCTATTTTTCATGTGGGACACCACAGCAGCAGGACTTGACAGTGGTGTGTAGGTCCGCATCCTGGATCCAAACCCTCTGACCTTGGGCACCAAGTGGAGCACTGGGACTTAACCACTACACCACCGGGCTGCCCTCTCAAATGATTCATTTAAAGTGTCTACACACTTGAAAAGTTTTTTTCGAATCTATAAATCTCTAATCCAATCTAACCTGTCAATTTTTTCCCTCAAATTAATTCCATTTCACTTGAATAAAAGAGTAGTAGAATGTAAATTTTTTGCGACGAGACATGTACTTTTTGCTAAGTTCACATTAAAATGTGCATTTCCAAGAGTCAAGTATTTGTAATCATTTATTACATTTTATTGCCACTATATCTTTACCTTCTCTGATTTTGGTTTAGTTAACCCTTTGTACGATGGTTAAATGTTGGCCATAACACAAATCTGTATAAAACTTTAGTCAGGTATTTTTTACTCTTGTTGCAAAGGTTAAACATGTACCATATGATGACTTTTAATGCCTTCAGTTATAGTGTAAACATTCAAAGATTTTCAAGTAATAATAAATGTAGTAACTCTTAAGAATGAGTTCATTGATTTTTTTCATTGAGACACTAATTAAGTGAAACTAACTTTAAAAGAAATTAAAATGAAACATTAGAATTACCCCATTTTAGTATTTTAGATATTTTACAAGAAATCTAAGCAAAAGCTTCAATAATCTTTCGTTTAAACAACTTTCTTAGATGTTATTTCCTTTCCTAGCACCGGTTCATCTTCTAGGAAAAAGTAAAAATAATTTGTGCAATGTCTATCTAGTATAGATTTGGAGAATTTACTTTTTTTACACTATTTTTCATGAAGGTTAGTTGTACTTATTAAAACCATTCTGGATACTTCTTGTGGTTCGAATATAATCTTTATTACTCCCCCCAATGGAGGTATGACAGCTGTCATTCAACAACAACAAAAGAAACAGAGGGGTAAGTAGTTTGCCCTAGGCCACTCAAACTAGTATGTGGTTTGTATATGCTAGTATCTGGATTCCATCTATTATGTGGATTCAAACTCCGGTCTTTATGACTCCAAAACCCCTGTTTGTATAAGGTCAAAGAGACTCTAAACTTCTTTAGAGGTTTGATTCACTTAATTCTGCTAAGTTGCTTGAATTGAGGAGATGGATGGATTCCAACAAGGTTTAGAGGGGTAAGTAACTTCCCCAAAGTTGCAAAGAAGATGGAGGAATCCTACAATAGGTTTTAAGACTTTTTTTTTAATTAATGCTACATCCATTTTAAACTTTTACCTTTAAGTGTTTACTTAGTTCAAATTGATGTTACTTGGATTCTACTTTTAAACCATGTTTTCTAAAAAATTATTTTAAACCGTGTTTTCTAAAAAATTAATTGGGCAGTCCAGATGAAACAGTACATTCTTGGTTGTATAAAGATGTTAAATAGCCTAAAAGGCTTATATCACATTTTTCTATATGATATCATTTGTGAGTATTTTTTTCAAAATAAAGTTATAGTTAGAATTTGTAAAACAGAATAACTATATAATGGGATAGAGATACCTAATCTACTTAGATATTTTGGAAACTTTTGAGACTGTTTAACAAATGGAAGCCAAAATTTGTTTTGATTTCTGGCTCTTACTAAGAGCCACTAAAACTTTTGATATTGTAATAATGTCAGTGATTTGATGCAGTTGGGTATGTAGTGTTCACAGATTGGCCAATTTGTTCCTAATTGAGATGATTATTTAAGAAATCTAAAGTCATTACACATAGTAAATATCATCAAGTTTCTGCAAGTCTTAAGGTTACAAAGGAATTTTAACCTATTTGCTAACTATACTTCATTATGTCTTTATAAATAAGTTTTAATTAGCATATAGTACTCAGAAATAAATTCAAAAGTACCAGGTTGAGCTATTTTGGCCTTTTACTACTTTAGAAAATAATGAGCCTGCTTTGACTCTACTTTTCTTGCTTCATGATCTATGAAAGAAAAAATTTAGGGCATGTAACTTGTTAATAATTTGTCTAAAATCTTTAGACAATTCTTGTAAAATAGTATTAATTAGATGTGTGATCTTGTGCATTATATCTTAAAGAAAGTTGACACTTATAATGCAGATTGCCATCTATTTCTCTTTTCTCAATTATTTGTATCTCTAATTTATTATCTTTGTGAGCTGCATTATCTTGATGAACCTTTCCAACTAATTCTTTTATGTATTAGCCCTCTTCAAGAGTAGTAGCAATAGGCATATAATTTTTGACTGTCTTCTAGTGTTAAATTCCTCTCTGAGAAATTCTGTCATTGTGGCCTTAGACGCAAGTCCAGCTTTCTGGGTTTTTTTGGGGGGGGAAGAGTGCCATAGAACATTAGAGTTGCTGGTGGCAGGAAAACTCTGAGAACTACAAATTCAGCAGAAAATAATGTTGTGTTGATTTGAAAGTCCTATATTTCTAAGTGGTGTTTAGTTTTTGAGAATTACTAAGGCTATTTTCTAGACCTGTGCCACTCAAACTGTGGTTGACTGTTACAGAGCTGTGCTTTTCAAATCCATGTGCATATGAACTCCCTGAAAATCTTCTTAAACTGCAGATTTAGTGTGTATGGGGGTGGGACCTGAGATTCAGCATTTTAATAAACTGGCAGTGTAGGTACTGCTGTTTGGTACACGCTTTGAGTAGTAAGGTTCTAAGGTTCTCAGTGCCGCCAGTTACCTATCTTGATAAGTTTGTTAAAGTTTTGTAAAAGCATTCTACTTTTCTACTTTATTCTGATACTTGATACTTAAACTAACCTCTATTAGAGCAAACTGTTTGAGCTCTTTCTGCTTCAATTTTATTTGTGTGAATTTATGATTACTACTTGTGTGTGACAAGTTTAAGCAGTTCCCTCCATATTGGTCTCATCTGGTACTAAGAAAAGTGATATTTTGGAATCTGCAAGAGAGGAGGCCACGTAGAACAGTGGTTAACAAAATAGATTTTCTTGGTTTCTGATCAGACTCCACCACTTACCAGGCTTGTTACTGGACAGGCATAGCCCTGCCTTGCCTCAGTCCTCAGGTTGCTGTGAGGATGAAGAAAGATAATCCATTTGGTTCCATGCCTGGTGCTTAGTTAACTGTTATCAGGAGAAAGGCATGCTGACTTTGTGAGGAGAGTACTGCCTTGCCCCACATCAGCATGATTCTGGATGGAGAATGAAAGGATCACTTGCGGGGTACTGCCTTGAGGAGCTTTGGGAATTGAACTAGAGTTCCCCCCTTTAGGGACACTTATTTATTCTGTTCATCTTTCCTTCTGTGCTGCTTTTGTCTTGCTCCTCCCCGTTACTTTTGTGGAACTGAAAACAGTCTCAAAGTTTTCTTCTCTACTTTCCTGTCCCCAAAGCTATCACACAGCTTTTTTCTTAAGGGATTTTATTGCTAGTCACAAGGGAGGAAAAATAAGATACAAAAAGCACTTCTTTCCTTTTTCTTGTACCCCTTACCCCATTTAGATTTATCCAGGAAAGATAAAGACATATGTCTGAACACACTCATATAAACCTAAAGCTTAAGTTTATTATAGTCATTTCATCTGGGCAGCCAGGCTTGACTCTGTAAGCAGCACTGCTTGTATTTATTTAAACTCTAACACGACGTTCATAAGAATACTTTTATTTAGGATTTTTAATGAGAAGTAAGCAAAAGCAACAGAGTTTGTTTCTGCAGTAGAAAGTTAAAAATGATGAAAAGATGTCTGTAGATACTGTACATTTTCAATGAGAGTTCAAGTACATAATTTTTCAGAAAGTTTGCTGATGATTTTGAGCTGGGCACTCACTAGTTAAATGTTTGGTAATAGTAAGTCATCTAGGTTTATTAAGAAATAATAGTTGAGAGCATAAAATTGGCTTGAGTAGTTCACCACTATATAGAGTTTTTTTTTTTTTTTGAGGAAGATTAGTCCTGAGCTAACTGCTGCCAATCCTCTTCTTTTTGCTGAGGAAGACTGGCCCTGAGCTAACATCCATGCCCATCTCCCTCTACTTTATACGTGGGACGCCTGCCACAGCATGGTTTGCCAAGTGGTGCCGTGTCCGCACCTGGGATCCGAACCGGCGAACCCCGGGCCACCGAAGTGGAATGTGTGCACTTAACCGCTGCACACTTAACTGCTGTGCCACTGGGCCAGCCCCTAGAATATTTTTTTGAGTGAAAACTTTTAATTGCCACTTCTACATTTTCTTTAGGTTTTCAAAGTAAAATGACTTTAGATAGAATCGAATAATTATACTGTAATGTGTAGTTGCAAGAGAATAGACTTTTTTGCCTTGCAACTTTGCACATTTATTTTTATATTTTTTTTACTTGTGCCTTCTTTCAGCATGCATGTGTGTGTGTAAAATCTGAAGCTAAAGGTAATTTTTAAATTTATACCAATAGGGTTTAAGATTAATTTTAGCACAAAAAGGGAGTGAAGGGAAGATTGCAAACAGCTTTCCATTTCTGTATAATTTACATTTATATGCATCTATTTAATTAACTGAGATATAAGTGAAAAGCTTTAAATTATTTATAAATAGTTTCTCAGTAAAATTTGCCGCCCTAAATAATGTATTGCTTATATTCACTTAAAATAACTAAATCAATTTGGCCTTTATCAGAAATTTTAATAATGCACCTGTTTGTCTCTAAATTTAAACTTCAGCATCATGTATTTTGAAATATTCAGCAATAGCAGTCAGACTATTTGGTTTCAAGTTTTTGCAGTTTGGAGTTTCATGAAAAATAGTTGCAGTGTATCTCACAGTGTAATTATGCCTTTTAATGTTACACCCTCATTAAATGCTAATGTCAATAGAAGTATCAGTTGGCTTAAATATGGGATGCTGTTAGCTTTATTTTTCTCATTGCGGTTCCTTGGAGTGTAGTACTAGTAAAAGTCTGTTTATTTTATATATAGTGTATGTCAAAAAACTCTAATAGAACTCAAAATAATGTGTCTATATAAAATTTTGCATGTTTTGAGAGACATCTGAGAAAAAGGTAATGTTAGATGTGGCTCATAGCCATTGTAAGTTGTATGATTTTATACTTTTTGTTTCAAGTTTATAATTGTGTCAAAACTACATATAATATTCTGCGAAGGTCTGAAATGGTACTCAATAATATGGGATTTGGGCTAAAATGTGAAATTGATCTAGATTTTAATGCATTTGGCAAGAGGATATGGTCATTAAAACCCAGGAGCCTCAATGATGCCTGAGTATGTGTTGATTTTCAGTTCTGAATTTTAAGTGTAAAGGACACAGAACCAAAGAAAGACTTGAATCTTCAGGTTTTCATTAATTAAATCAAACGAAATCAATTCAAGATATTTATTGAATATCTGTTACGTGTTTGCATGTTAAATCCTGGAGAGAGAGGTGGGTATCCCTTAGTGGTAGCCCAGGTGTACAGCTATGAACTCTGCAGTCAGAAGAGTTTATTTTGAGTGCTGCCTTTTCCCTTCACCATCTGGGTGATCTTGGGCAAGTTACTTGACTTTTCTGAATAGTACTATATAGTTTTCAAAGTATTTTGAACATTATCTCACTTAATCCTTACCAGCAGCCACCCTACAGGGTTAACTGGTTGACATTATTGCCATGTTCAGAGGGTTGCCTACTTCCCTGTGTTTAGTGGGTATCATGGTGTGGGGAGATGGGTAAGAGCATGGATTTCAGGGTTAGACAGACTTAAGTTTGAATCCTAGGGCTAACACCTTGACCATGCTCCTCATATTTTTTGAAGCTCATGGAAATAATTATACCTGTCTCAGGATTGTTGAGGAGGTTCAATGAGGTTAAGGGCTTCCTTACTGCTTTCTCTCTCGTTCCTGGCGCATAATAGGCAATCAGTAAGTATTTGCTGAGTAAATAAATGTCTGGCATAGTAGGCGTTTGTTCATGGGAGCTTCCTTCCCTTCTGATTCCTAGTCTATTCCTGCCTCTGGAACTAATTGAACTTGAAAACTAGTTTGTGTTTAAGGTTTTTTGGGGTTTTTTTGTAATTAATCTGGTTGGTTGGGTAATGTATAGGATTAAAAAAGGGCAAATTTACCTCTTTTTTTTTTTTTTTCCAGTGAGGAAGATTGGCCCAGAGCTAACATCTGTTGCCAATCCTCCTCTTTTTGCTTGAGGAAGATTGTTGCTCAGCTAGCATCTGTGCCAGTCCTCCCCCATTTTGTATGTGGGACTCCACCACAGGATGGCTTGATAAGTGGCCTGTAGGTCTGTGCCTGGGATCTGAACCCACGAACCCCAGACCACTGAAGTGGAGCATGCGATCTTAAACACTATGCCACCAGGCTGGCCCCCCAAATGTACATGTTTTAAAGGATTTTTTTCAGTAGAAGGGAGGTTACTGAAAGCCATGATTATGCATGAAGCTGATTTTTTTATTGTTATTAAGCTCCTCATAGTTGAACATGTTTTTATCACTCTGTGGTATTAGACTATTATATTTTACTTGCTGTAATACTAAGATGAATCAACCACATTCCCGAAGTAGTATAAGACCATAATTCCTTAATTCACAAGCCTGGCATGATCTTAAATTTTAAGAAATGTTATTTTTTTTTAATTGTATGTAGTGAATTAGTATTATGATATATATTTAGCTTATTGATTGTTATTGGAGCCAGCTTTACACCACTCTTTGGAAGCATAAATATTTTTCCTCTTTATGTGGAATTAATGTTATATATACATTATTAGAGTCTTATCACATTATATTAACACACACACATATCTCAGTATTTGATGTTCCCCCCTGCAAATTCCTTCAGGGCAGAGACTGTTTTCTTCATCCATATATTCTTGCTGCTTAGGTGTGTGCCTGACCAATAGCAATAGCTGTATTGTGCTTCATGAGACAGGATACCTGCTTCTAATCTGGGCCTGCTTAAGGGATTTTTATTTTTATTTTTGCCCTAGATATTTAGAACTTAAACCCTGCATAAGATACTACTGTACTTTATGGTTAAGAAATAAATGTTATTTTGAAATTTTAGTAATCAGTAAGGCATTTAGTATGAAGTAAGTCACACTTATTTTTATTCAAAGTTAATCTTTGTCTGAAAAGGTAAGAACATTACCTGTGTTTTCTGAAGACTTCTGGTCCTTGTAGTAGTGAGTTTAAAATTATTTAAATATTAATTGAAGCCATGCTGTATACAAAGCGTCCTATATAAGCTTTTTACAAAGTGTGTTTTGCTTAGAGAAGGCTTTGTTAGCACTTTATAAACGTGATTGTTTATAAAGGCAGTCTCAGAGTTTGTTCATCCTTTTTCTTAGAATTCTTGTGACACTTATACCAGCAATCTGATTTCTAAATTATAGAAGTCATTTTTAGGTAGAAAAATCCAAAAATTTTCTTGTTCAATTTTAATCTTTGAATGTGATTAATACTACTTTTCTTTTTTCTTTTTAAAGATAGTACTTTAATAACCGGTCTCAAGGGACATGTCTTTCCTGGTATACAGGCGTTACATTCTACCTTCCTTTTTTCTTTGAAACAGATTTATTTGAAAATATGTATGGGTCTACAATGAAGAGACGAGAACTTGAAGATCTCAAGGATAATATTGGGTTCAGAGGTCATAAGCCACTTAACAGCATTACTGTGTCAAAGAAACGCAATTGGCTATATCAGAGTACTCTGAGATCTTTTAATTTGGAAGAAGAAAATAAGAAATGCCAAGATATAAGTAATTTATCTGTCTCCCCCCTCTCTCTACCTAAACATCAGCTATCACGACCTTTCCTCAAATCATCTGAAGAATATTGTACATATGTGGTGTGTAATGCTACAAATTCTTCATTATCAGGAAACTGTTCTCTAGACTTTAATGAGGAAAATGATGCAGATGATGAAGGAGAAATATGGTACAACCCCATTCCTGAGGATGATGACTTTGGGATATCAAATGCTTTGAGTTTGGGTGAGGCCAACTCTGCTGTTCTGAAGTTTCCTGCTGTCGGTTTGAGAGTATTACCTGGTAGCAACCTAATGAAAGTAGAGCAGCGTACTGAAGACTCGCTCTGCTCCTCTGAACACACAGGCGATGTTCAGACCACACAGTCAAATGGAACGAATTCTGTAGATTCCATCCATTCCACAGGGTTTGGGCAGCAGTACAAGCAAAGGCTTGGACACAAGACACAAGAAGGTATAACGGTGGAGGACACTCCCTTGGTGAAATCTCCATTAGCAGGTAAAGATGAGCATGTATCTGCCTTTTCTTTCTTCTCCGTTTTCCAAATCTTTGGTAGTAGCTAAAACTAAATAGAGATGTCTGTCATAGCTATGTACTTTATCTTACAAAGTGAATGTATTTTCATGAAAATAAACTCAAAAAAGTTTATAAACATTTTTATGTATGTGGCGGTTTAATTATTCCTATCACAGTCTTGGTTTTGTCTTCTGGTGTGCTTTAGTATGTCAGTCTTTTTTTTTTTTTTCCTTTTTTTCTCCCCAAAGCCCCCCGGTACATAGTTGTATATTCTTCGTTGTGGGTCCTTCTAGTTGTGGCATGTGGGACGCTGCCTCAGTGTGGTTAGATGAGCAGTGCCATGTCTGCGCCCAGGATTCGAACCAACAAAACACTGGGCCGCCTGCAGCGGAGCACACGAACTTAACCACTTGGCCACGGGGCCAGCCCCAGTATGTCAGTCTTTTGAGATAGTAATTTTTCTTTTAGTTGAAAGAATGGAAACATGAGGAGTAGAAGAGAAAGATATATTCTTTATGTAAATCATATTTTGCTTCATTCATTCATTCATTCATTTGCTCACACTTGGTCTGGCCACAGGTGAGAAGTTGTACTTTTAGTGTACCAGTAGTCATTAGTTTGTGTTTTTACGCCTATGTTTCCTCATGAACAAGGAAAAGGAGAAGAGAAAAAGAAATGAGAGGTAGAAGTAAATACCTTGCCGATGGGTTCTGCAATAGTTAGGGAACCCAGAAAGCAAGTAATTGAAGTTTGATTCATAGTACATTGAACCATATGAAGCTGCTAATATTCAACTGTTTTTGATCTGCAAAAAACAGCATTTCATGTGGTTCATCCTAATGATTTTATTCTTCCTTGATTGCCTGCGGTTTTGTGATGTGCTTCTTTTCAAATTTAGTCCCAGGTACCCTACCCAGGAAACAAAGCATATGGCACATTTAGTTGCAAATATCAGATGTTGAATAGAAAGTAATTATGTTTTATAGGAAGTCATTTTAATTTATAAAATTTGAAATGATACAGAATATTCGAAGATGTGAGGTATAGCAGGTGCTGTCAGTACCGTGTCCATATCCCTTGGGTTTTATTACTTATTTAAATGGAGACAGCCTATTCCAACCATCAGTATCTGCATCTCTGCTGGAGGGCTCTCTCTGGAAGTGGTAGAGGGAGCCTAGGAGGGCCTCTCAACCAGGACTGACAGGAGTTGGGTAGGACTACCGCAGCTCCTCTGCCCTTGAGTGGGATAAATCTGCATTGTTTCTCAGAGTTTTCTCATGCGTTTAGGCTCCACTTGCCCATAGTGGTAGCAGGCTTGATAATTCACCTTGAATTTCACCTGGTGTTTGTGGCTGGTATCCTTTTCTCTGAGATATGAGGAGGCGGAGTAAATGTTATGTTAAGAGAAAAAGCAAGTTATAATACAGTGTGTCCTGTATGATGTCAATTTTAAAAGAAGCACTGAAAACTATACTAGAAATATTAGTCTAACCCCCCTCCCGGGGGTGTTGGGATTGAAGGTAATTAAAACTGTGTGTGTGTGTGTATGTGCATTTCTAATTGTAGACTGATTTTCCAGAGTTAATGTTTGTTTCTTTTGTAGTCTGGATGGAGAGAGGAACAAATACTATGTAAAATAACAGTTTGGAACACAGGCTGTGATCAGGATGGAGTGATGGGAAGGCGTGCAGGGGTATAGCAGATAGTGATGCCTGTGAAATGTTGCCAAAAGGCAAGAGGGAATGAGGACAAGAGCAAAGCTAGAAAGCCACTGTCTAAAGTGATACACACTTTGATTTAGGTTACTGCCTTTAAACTTTTTTTATGTCTGTGGCAAATTGTGAAGCTGGAAAGACTGAGAGACATTACAAAAAGACCCCCCAAAACTTGTAAGTACAATAGGGCTGTCATTTATGTGTCCTTACTATCATTCTTCTCTTAAACATATTATTAGAATATAATAAGCACAATCCTAAATTAACCAAAGGAAGTAGACAGTTTATTTATATGCTGTCTCCTTTTGTTTAAGTTTGATCAGAAAAGTTACCTAGTGATCTGTTTTCTTTAGCAATATTGGCAGAAGACTGTTGAGAAATCGGCAAAGAGAATGGTCGAATTTCAAAATAAATTTTTGATCAAGGAATAGGAGAGCTGAAGTATTTTGAATATAAACAATTTTTTAATCATAACAGAATTAGGACTTGTTTTTTGCTTATTAACTTCTAGATGTACATGTGTCTTTTGTCTAGTTGCAATCATAGTGGACTATTTTTGGTTTTTGCTATTTTTACTTGTATCTTCATCCTGTATTATTCATGAAAATTAATGTTATTGTTTCCCAGTCTTTATAGTATTTAATTGGGTTGACGTGCCCTAGTCTGTTTGACCGGTTCCCTAATGTTGGGCATTAATAGATTGTTTCCTCCACTACTGTGGCAATGATTTTCGTTAGGATCTTTTTTGCTTCCTTGGGACTGAGTACTAGATTCATTACTGGGTCTTTATGGCCGGTAACTACTATTGGTAATTCCTTTATTGTATTTCCTAAAATGTTTACCAATTTGCAGGCAGCCAACAATTGGTTGGTTGGTTGAATAATTCATTTATTCAATAAATGCTGAGTCTCTGCGGTTTGCCCGTTACTGTTCCAGGTGCTGAAGGAGTGTGCCAGTTTCACTTGATTCTAGCCTGCGTCATAAATTTATGTTTAAATATTTTCATTTTGTGCTTTCCCCATATAGCAAGTCTGTAATTTGATTAGTACAATTGTAGTTTAATTTTAAGTGATTGTTGAATTTGGTAATATTTTCCCTCTTGGACTTTTTAAAAACAAAGCATTTATGTTTTAATAAATTCAGTCTTGTCTGCAGTAGAAATTGCTAACATATACAGTATTTCATTTTAATAATTAGTTAAGGACTTCAATGGAAATATTTAATGTACAATGTGTAAAATAGAAGTCAGAATGTTAGATTAAACTCCTTAATAATTTAATGAAACAGAGCAATTCAGTATACTGGGGAGCTTTTTTATGCTGTGACAAAATAGATAGCTTGTAGACTAAAGCAGGTCTCTGATACCGTAGAATTTTTAGAGCAGTAAACCAGTAGAATTGTACTACAATTTACAGTACAAGGCAATGCTTTGTCTAGTTTATCAAACACTCCATTTCTTATTAGTTGCTTACCAGAAAAGCCTAGCAGGCATACTTAAAATAGTCCTTTCTCTCTAAAGAAACCACTTCTTTGTTATTAGACACATAAAGAGGGGTGGAGGGAGAATATTGTATTGATACTTTAAGGAAAGGGTATTTAACCTATTGATTTTTAAAATGAATAAAGCTTTTTTTCTCATTTCTAGTATAGTGTAGAGTAGCCTCCAATATTAGGGTCATTAGGGATCTTTATAAGGAATAGTTAGATAAAGTAGGAAAAGTTAATTTAAACTTTAAATAATTGGGATAATACTAGCTTGTTTCTTTAATGCAACAGTTTAAATTTGTATAATAATAGATTTTAGAAGATTTTTAATTTTGCTTTGTTTGAAAGCTTACTAGGAACAGGTTCAAATATAAAAATGAAACTGGTTAGTCTGTACATTTTTTTTTTTTACTGGGAGATTGAAAGTTTAAGGTTAAATAGAATAACTTCTTAATAATAGTTGAGAAAACGTCTTTAAAAATATGGACAGAAAAATGTTTAGAAGGATGGAGAGGCTGAAAGTGTAGTATTTATGAGCACTGGCTCTGAAGAACTATGCTTAGGTTTGAATCCTGGTTCTGCCACTTACTAGCTATGTTATCTTAGACAAATTAGACACCTCTGTGCGTAGGTTCCTTATCTGGAGAATAGGGAGCTAGTGGTATCTTAACTCATAGGGTTATTATGAGAATTAAATGAGAATCTGTGGATACTAAGTATTAAATTAATTTTTCATATGTTGTCTAGCTCAATAAGTGTTGGCTGGTGTTATTGGCTTTAATAATTAAATATTAATTTAATAATTAAATATTTAATTTTTAATAATTAAATATTAATCATTTCATATTAAACTACTTGTAGTAGTATTTTACCATGGTATTTACAATGCTTAATCTCTTAGTAGTGCAGTTTAGGCTATTGTTTACTTTATTTATACTTTTTTGTATCTTTTAAAAACTTTTTGTAAACCTCGATAATTTTGACGTTAAGAAAAAAATGAAGCTATTTTTGTGTGGAGAAAAATTCAAAAACATTTCAATGCATTGTTCTTTATGAAAACTGAAAATTATAAGAAAACTTATTTATATCTCTGCATTGTTGTTTAATATGTTGAAATTACAAGGAAAGGCCCTAATTTAGCTTTTGAAATTCTAGGGAATTATTGTATACAAATAAAACAAGAAAGAAAATGTCTTTACCGTTTTGAAAATTATTTAGTTAGATTTATGATGTTCAATATTTGGTTATTCTTGGTTGTCTAGAGTTTATTCTATATAATATTTGGTGATGTGTTCTAATAGAATTTTAGAATAAGGAGGGGCTCATTCTTGTCAAAATTATAAACTTGTTTTTAACTTTCTTTTAAACCAGCACTGTTATGCGATAAAATTTAGTTTTTAGAGGATTGTAGAGGAAACATTCTTTTTTTTTTTTTTTAAGATTTTTTTTTTTTTTTTCCTTTTTCTCCCCAAAGCCCCCTGGTACATAGTTGTATATTCTTCGTTGTGGGTCCTTCTAGTTGTGGTATGTGGGACGCTGCCTCAGCGTGGTTTGGTGAGCAGTGCCATGTCCGCGCCCAGGATTCGAACCAACGAAACACTGGGCCGCCTGCAGCGGAGCGCGCGAACTTAACCACTCGGCCACGGGGCCAGCCCCTAGAGGAAACATTCTTATAGTAAGATTTAGGATTTCTAAGTAAACATGTTAAAATAGGAATGTGTTAAAATAAGTGTTTTAATATGTTAAAATAAGCATTAAAATAAGAAGCTTTCCAAATTTCCTCTGATATTCGCTGTTTACAGTTATAAAATAACGTACTCACTGAAGTATATTGCAGTGGGAAAGCTTTAGAAAGGCGCCTATATTACCCTTCCTCCAGATCTTCAGAATAGAAATGCAGATGGAGAGGAAGATGCTGCTGCTTACTGTAAGCCATTTGGAGATCCTTGATATTCTGCTTAAATATGTTAATGGAGAGGCACCTAAACTTATAACTAAGTCTCCCTATTGAGATGAGACAAGGGAGGAATTTTTGTCCCTGTGAGTCTGTTAAGTTGATGGTTTATAAAGTAGGAGTAAAAGTAGGAATGAAAACATATCAACTTATAATATCTTTTCTTTTTTTTAAGGTCCTGGGATCCTGCCTGCTACAAGTAAGACTGATTTGGGAGTTATAGAACCATCTTCTCCAAGCCCTAGCCCTATGAAAAAAGGCAGTTCAATTAATTGGTCTTTCCCAGATAAAATAAAATCTCCACGAACTGTGAGGAAACTTTCCATGAAAATGAAAAGGTTGCCAGAACTTAGCCGAAAACTGAGCGTTAAGGGAACCTTGAATTACGTACACGGTGCAGATAGTGCCCCTTCCTTGTCTAAATGTAACTGTCAAGGAATTCATCATAGTGTGATTCTCTCTTCTGGGAACACAACCACAGCTGCTAGGAGGAATGTTATCAGTCGATATCATCTAGATACCAGTGTATCTTCTCAGCACAGCTACCAGAAGAAAACCTCTGTGACTTCTAAGTATTCCTGCAAAGGAGGTTACCTCAGTGATGGAGATTCACCTGAGCTTATAACTAAATCTAGCAAACATGGATCTGAAAACAAATTTGGAAAAGGAAAAGAAATAATTCCAAACATCTATAGCAAGAATGAAATAGACATTGATGCTTTTAGACATTATAGCTTTTCTGATCAACCTAAGTGTTCACAGTATATTTCTGGGCTCATGAGTGTGCATTTCTATGGTGCTGAGGATTTAAAACCACCTCGGATAGATTCGAAAGATGTCTTTTGTGCAATTCAGGTGGATTCAGTAAACAAAGCAAGAACAGCTTTGCTCACGTGTCGGACAACGTTTTTAGACATGGATCACACTTTCAACATAGAAATTGAAAATGCGCAGCATTTGAAATTAGTAGTATTCAGTTGGGAACCCACTCCAAGAAAAAATCGAGTGTGTTGTCACGGGACTGTTGTTCTCCCCACCTTATTCAGAGTGACAAAGACACATCAGTTGGCTGTCAAACTTGAACCGAGAGGTCTTATTTATGTGAAAGTAACTCTTTTGGAACAGTGGGAGAATTCTCTTCATGGACTAGATATAAATCGAGAGCCAGAAATATTTGGTGTTGATATTCGAAAAGTTGTAGAGAAAGAGAATACAGGATTGATGGTGCCACTCCTGATACAGAAATGTGTTATGGAAATTGAAAAAAGAGGCTGTCAGGTATTATTTCACTGTGTTTCTCTACTACCCCCTTATCTCTTTGCCTAATTAGTTAATTAAATTTATTTATAGTAAGTCTTAGGGGAAGGAATTCAAGGTAAGGTATAACAAATCTAATGTAGACATTTTCTCATTCCTATTCTTTATTTTTATTGCGTTACTGTTTAGGGTGTAAGTCATACCTTCTCCTATGTTGTCAATGATGGAGAGCAGGCTAGATGGTTCCACAGTTTATGCTGATACAGAGCTGCAGGCACCATATGCCTAGAGATCAAGATTGCTTTACAATGGCATTCCTGGGAAAAGCCAGAGCTGATAACATAGGCAAAAACTAATTAATTTAAGGAATGTTTCTGCTGGTTTGACATTCCTGTGGTAGAGAGTTCCAGCAGTGAATCTTGTAACTCCTCTTCACTTTTAAAATTGATTCCCTGCCCTTATTCTCTACTTTCCCTCATCTTTGGAAAGCAGAAGCTTATCTGTCTCTTAACTTTGGGATAGCATGGAGGATGAGGAGAGGTCCTACTGATAAAACACATCTCATTCTCTTTTCCTTTTAAATAAGGTGAAAACAGCCCATTAAAACAAACAGAAAACCTGGTCTTATTTATAACAAGATATGTAAATATTAACCAGTTAGTAGACCTTATCTTTCTTTATTTTCATTAATACGTATAGATTATGACAGTGAGAATCAGCATATCACTGAGGATATTATTCTGAGGTACAAGTAATTGTTTATACTCATTTTTGCAACACAAATTAAGCCTAAAAATCACCATGTTCTGAGACATTTCTACTTTAGTGCTATCAGAATTTAAAACATTCGTTATAAATGTCAAGGGTAAATATCACAAAATCTGGAATGTGAATTTCTTTATATATAGAAAGGATTTTAAAATAGCCTTCCTTGAACTTAACATGGAAACTGTAGAAACAGCATAAGTTAGTAGAGTTTTGTATTAAGATGCAAGAGACTTGGATTCTGATTTCTCCTCCAATTATTAGCTGTGTGATGTTGGGCAAATCACTTAATCTCTGTGGGCGTTATTTGCTTGTATCGATGCAATAGGTTCCTGAAGCTAAGTAGGACATCTGAACTTTTGAAATGTCTTCTCAGATATGTGATTCTATCAGGTTGAGTTTGTGTTGTCTCGGTGGGAATGAGGCCTTTAGTTTGCAATCCAACATTGGGTCCAGTTAGTTTTTTCATAAAGTTCTATTTTTCCTCCATTTTTTTTTCAGGCAGCGTGTAGAGAAGTCAGAGATTAGGCAGGTTTTACAGCTAATTACTCAACAGAAACTTTTACAATTGAATATTAAATTAAGTAACTCAAATAGCACTGTACTTTTACAGTCTATTTTCTGAAATATTTTAAAAGAGCAGGTGTATAAGACTATTGAAACTTATTTTAAATGCCAAGAAAACAGTGCTTTTTATTTCTATACTTAACATTTAGAAAGATTTATTTTAATAAAGAATTATTTCCTGTGAAGTAAAAAAGGTACAGTTGGAACTGCACTTTTTTTTTTTTTTTGCTGAAGAAGATTAGCCCTGAGCTAACATCTGTTTCAGTCTTCCTCCACTTTATATGCGGGCTGCCACCACAGTATGGTGATGAGTGGTGTAGGTCTACACCCAGGATCTGAACCTGTGAACATGGGCCACCAAAGCAGAGCATGCTGAACTTAACCACCCAGCCACAGGGCCAGCCCTGGAACTGCACTTTTTAAACACCTTTTTGTTTTATCTCTTTTGCTTCTCCAAGCCCCCTGCACCCTGACACACACAGAAAGAGGCTTATTGTGCCTGCATTTTACACTGCATTTTACAGAACAGCACACTACTTAAATTTTGTTTACCTTTTTTTTTGCAGGGAAAAATTCACCCTGAGCTAACATCTGTTTCCAATGTACCTCTTTCTTTTTTTTTTTCTTCTCCCCAAAGCCCCAGTGCATGGTTGTCTATTCTAGTTGTAGGTCCTTCTGGTTCTTCTGTGTGAGCTGCCACCACAGCATGGCAAGTGACAAGCGGGTGGTGTGGTTCCACAATTAGGAACCAAACCCAGGCTGCTGAAGCAGTGAGGGCACCGAACTTTAACCACTGGGCCATCAGGGCTGGCTCTTGTTTGCCTTTTTTTTTTTAAGCACGCAATAAATATTAGTTATTATTAGTAATACCCATGTCACAGAGTTAGTAATGGTGGAGCTGGAATTTAAAACTAAATTTTCTGATTTTAAGGCTAGTGATCTTTATACATTTCAATCAGCCTTTTATAACAGCAAGCCCTCCTATCTCTGTAGTATTTTACAGTATACAAAGAGGCTTCACCTGCATTTTTCTTATTTGATTCTCACAGTAAGCTCTTTACTCTGTGCACACGTTACTTAGTTGGAGAACTGGAAGCTTGAAGAACAATACATTCACTCCGTTTACCTCCTCAACAATTATTAAGTGTATGCCGCATTCTATTAAGAGCGGCTTCTCCTAATGCTCCAGCTTCCTTCCATATTTCCAGTCATCTATTGTTTACCTTTTTAGTCAGTAATTATTCTTGTTTTTTTTTCACCATGCAAATCAGGTTTTGATAGTCATACCAAAATAGTTTGTGGCATCTTCCAAATGCTTTGAATGCTACTGTCACCCATCTCCTGCTTCCAAAGGGAAAAATTGCTATAGAAATCATACTCGTGGTCTACCCAGTAGAGAGTCTCTCTCTGATGGAAGCATCAAGCACGTACTTCAAGTGTTTGATTCAAAAAGTCAGCCTCTGAAGTTAGGGATATATCCTAAAATATCCTTTCCTTGGAATATCTATATTAGATCTTCCTTCCTTTATTCACCTTAAAAAATATGTATTTGTAATTTCAGCTTTTGGGATAACATGGTCCATAATTTATTACTTACTATTGAAGTATTCCTTTCTTCAATTTGTTCTAGGCTCGTTTCCTTCTCAAGTTCAAGGGATACATCCTTATTATGGGATTTTGTGACACTTAAGTATGCCTACACCAGAAAGGCTCTACTCAAGTTAGTTTCGTCTAATGTGATAGCGTTTCCTTTGATCCTGTTCAATATTTTAGTTTCATTTTTCTGGATCATCTACAGTTCTACCATGTCTTTCTTGCGATGATGTGACCAGCATAGCACATGCTGTTCTCAATGTGAATGCACTGTGAATGTGGATAAGAGTAGGAAATTTGAATTTTTTTTCCTCAGTACATTCCCTGGTTTCCCATATTATACTGATCCTTTTGAATGTAGCAGCACCTTGCATTACCTTCTCCTAGAAATAACTGTAGGTTCCTTACTATCTTTCAATTAATACTTAATAGTTATCATCTCAAATATTTTGGATAAATATCCCTGTATCCATATTGACAGTTTTCCTATATATCCTGTATTTCCCACCTTCTATAGTATATTCTATCAATTATTTGATGACTCAGAAGAAGTTAGTGTCATAAGTAAACCTGGAAAGTTCATTTGTGATTTCTTCCTCTAGATCATTTATAACATTTTAAAGTGATTCCTAATTCAAATCCTTGGGGATCCCCGTTGTTTGTTTTTACTTTATTTCTATCTTGAAATAACTTCTTTATCCATAACTTCCTTCACTTCAAGGTGATTGAACTTCCTAAATAGTCTATAATATGAAGTATAGGTGACACCCACTTATTTTCCTTAATTTTCTTGAAGGTTTATTCTTTTGAAAAACTCCAATTGCTTAATCAGGCATGTTTTCTCTTTACAGATACCGTGTTGATTTCTTCTCAAGAATTCATAGTGAACTTCTTAAGACTTGCTATTTTAGAACCTGTATGAACTGTTTAAAAAACAAATTTTTTTAGTGTAGCTTGAGGGGAAGGTGGATGGTGTCATGCATCTTATATACATTTGAACTAGAGATTTTATTTTACCTTTAATATGTTATTTTAATTGAATTTCCTCTATCACTTTATAGTCAATTAATTTGATAAGTTAAAAAATCCTAGGTTTGCTTTTGTTTCCTCCTGAGAATCTTTTTTTTCCCTAAAAAGATAACTTCATGCAAATAGTATACTGGAACCTTATTTCAAGTAGTGTATACTTCTTTGTGGATACATAAACTGAGTTTTAATGAGATTAAATAACTTGCCCAAATTCACCAAGCGAGGAGTGATGGAGTGGGGCTTTCTTTACGAATCCAAAACCCCTGTTTAACCACTGTGCTGTGTTACTTCAGTCTAGAGCAAAAGATATAAAAGGGCATATAAAAGGGCATCTTGGGGCATGGAGATATTGGTTGAACATATAAAACTAAACGGAAGAGATTTTATCTTTGTTTAAGGTAAGACAGCCAGCACTACAGAAATCATAGTATATTGTTTGAATTTAAATGAAAGAACGGAATGTTCTAATAAAACTAATGAATATAGTCTGTGGTGAGATTTCAAAAGCTGTGTTTGAGGTATTTTTAATTAAATGCCATTAGAACATAGTTGATTGCCAAGTTTATGTGATTTATACATACTGTACAGTTACATTTTCTTTTTATCAAATTTACAGAATGTGGCCATAATTTTATTTCTAGGTAGTAGGCCTTTACCGATTATGTGGTTCGGCAGCAGTCAAGAAAGAACTTCGAGAGGCTTTTGAGAAGGATAGTAAAGCTGTTGAGCTCTGTGAAAACCAGTACCCAGATATAAATGTAATAACAGGTAAGAAATAGATTTTATATACACATACTGGAAAAACAACATCTGTAGGAGAGAGAACTGAAATACTATTTTGTAGCCTAAATTTAATTTGGTTTTATTCTGAAGTCTTATTTCCCTTCTTTCACAAACACTACTGTGTTGTTTTCTCTGGGGAGGTACCCGCCCTTCAACAGCTTCAATTCTTGGGCGGAAGTAAGACCCACAGTGAATTAGCTGTGGTAGCTAGCAGAAGGAAAAGGGTACCTTTTCTTCATAGAGGGATAAATAAAATGCCATCAGAGTTCAGTCTGACTGGAGCTTAGGTGATGTAAAGGCTTGACTATCTGGTCAGAGAACTTAGATTTATTTACTAGGCAGGGATGCATCAAAGATTTTTGAGCAGGGAGTGAAATCTTTAGAGATAGTCTTCAGGAATATTAATCTGGTAACTCTATGTAATGGGTTGAAGCTAGAAGAGACCAGAGGAAGGAAAACCAGTGAGGGAGCCTTGGCAGTAGTCCCAGCAAAGAGGTAATGAGAGCTGAAGGAGTCCCGTAGCGGTAGCAATAGGGGGAATAGAAGTGAAAGGATAGGAAGAAAGAGGGCCCAGACAAACATGACTTTGACACCTGGGTAATTGGGTACCATTAGAAGAAAGAAGAAAGCTGGGAGGAGAGCTACTGCTTTTAGTGGAGAAATGGAGAGAACGATGATAAATTGGGTTTCTTTTCAAACTTATATATTGACTTTGAGGTACCAATAGGAGACCTAAGTGGATATATAAAGCAAAGTTGAGAGTACTCATCTACAGCTAAGAAGAGGATGGAGTAGAATTTGAGGGGTCTTTTTATTTACCCAAGTGGTGAACGTAATCCAAGGTAAGCATGGGAAACACGCTTCCAGTGCACCTGAGAGCTGGGGGTAGAAAATGGCAGTTTGAGGGACATTGGGATGTAGTTGTAATTAACGCCTTGCAATTGTCCATTTGTTTGAAAAGACAGGAACTTTGAGGATCTCCTAACTTTGGAGGCAGGCAAAGGAAGAAGAAACAGCTAAAGAGACTGAGAGAAAAGGAGTCAGAAAGTTTGGGGAACAAGACAACAGAGTTTAAGGAAAAGTGTAATGCAGTGTCATTCTGTGGAGGGATCATGTAAGATGAGAACAGAAAAAAGACCTTTGAATTGGGCTATTAGGAGATTATTCATAACTAATTGATATCTTCAGGGACTACGGGCTTATAATTCCATATTTGTTTTTGTTGTTTTACTTTTTGTTAATGAAGTTTTTGAGCATGTACAAAAGTAGAGACAATACTGTGTTAAACCCTCTTTATCCATCACCTGGCTTCCATAAACAACACATGACCAAACCTGTGTCATTTATACCTCTCATTTGATTCTCTGCAAACTTGGATTATTATGAAGCATGTCTCAGATATCATATCCTTTCCCCTGCAGATGCTCTGCTATGGATCTCCAGATCTTCTGTGTATTTTGATAGCTCTTTCCCTTCTCTCTACTGTCAACTGCCATTTTTTTCCCATGTTATAGGGTGTTTCTCTCTTCTAATTTGCTTTCTTATTTTACATACAGTTAATTTTCTAGGTGAGAATTTGAGGAAAGTTCCACTTGCACATATTGAAGAGATTTTTCTTAGTTGAAATCTTCTTAAACCTTACTTTTGGAATTGAGGCCTTCTAAACAGTTGAGGTTCTCAATCTCTGAACTCTGAATGACTATATTCTCATAGAATATTTAATGTATACTCTTGGATAACCAAAACTTTGATCCTAAGCATTTTAATTCTAAGAGAAAACAAACCAAGGCACTTTTTCTTTCTTATAAATGTTAGCCAATCAGAAATAATGGTTACTTTTATTTTTGTAAAAGAAGAAGGCTTATCGTTTCTATAAGAAAAATATCATTTCTACAAAATAGTAGAATTTTTCCTTAATAATATGTAATTAACAAAATCCATTTTATAAATTCATTGAAGAGAAGTTTTATAAATAGCAATTCTCAGGAAACTACACTCTACAACTAAATGAAAGGAAGTTTTGTCTCGGTGAAGCCTTATCTTAGAAATAAAAATTATGTCAAACATGTATGATTTTAGAAGATGAAGTGATGTGGTTTGAATTGATTATTTGCTATAAGAGAAGGCCCGTAGTTGGAAATTTACAGCATATGCAGAAGATATGAACAACAGGTCAATGAACATTAGGTTTATATCATTCTTATCTAAAATCGAGAGTTTCCATAATTTATGAATTGGCTATTTCGTGGCTCTATTTTTTGTACTGTTCCATTTCAGTGAAGCTGTTTTTCAAAAGAACATAGAGCTGTTTTCTTTCTTGATAAAAAACCAATGAAATGATTTAATATTTGTCTGAGAAGGATCATTGGAAATGCAATAAATTATACAGAAGGTCTCATCTTGGCTCAAAATAAAGGGTATTGTTGATTTGGGAAATTGGCCAGTAATGGTGTTGCCTCATGTGTTTTTTCCATGTGAACTCACATTTCTGAGTAAACTTTGAAATATAATTAACAGTTCAGTAGGTCTAAAAAATGAGAAATTAATGAAGTGAATGAAAGAGTTTACTTACAGTTTAATGTGTTCTTAGTAGTTAGTCTGGAATACAGAATGAAGTGCTCCTGACAAACCAGATTTTTTCAATCAGATGCAAAATTTAAGATATGAAATCTATTCACACTTGTTATGGGGCTTACTTACCAGAACAATAGAAGAAATTAGAAAAGTCAAAATATTTATTACTTAGGGATTATTAGAAAAGAATAAATCTCTTGAGGAGGAAAATTCAGTTTGAATGTGTCTGCCCACTGTAAAATAGACTTCACATGTCAGTGCTACACAATCAGTATCTGGGTTCAGTACTTAAAAGTTCATTTGGCCATACCTTTTTCTGATTTTAATCCTACCTCAATTCTTTTATTTTCCTTTGAAAGAAAACTTGATCAGAAATAAGCCAGAAATTATCTTCAAATCATTAATAATTTTCTTCATTTACACATATTTAATATACATTTTTCCCATCATATATAGTATATGTTCTCTGATCTCTGGCACACTAACTTCCAAATTACTTCTGTTTGTCTTCATCTGAGTTGAACACAGACGTCTCAAGTATGTAAACACTAAGGAATGCAAAACATTGAGGAATGGTCATAATTTAGAAACGAAAATATACTGAGGCAGTATGTGAGAGCCATTTGATCTGAGTAACACGTATAGAGTATGCCTAAAGAAAGCAGTAAGTTCAAAAAGTGTACGTGAGGTAGGGTGGGGTAGATTAATGGATTTAAAAAATTAATTTATAGTACTAACTTCAGGAAATGTCAATGATTCTACATTCAGATCTACCTGCTCTAGTGTATCTTTATTATCTATGTAAGTTTTACCTGAGAAAGAATGATTCTCATGGTTCTCTACTTGTATATTCAATATTCTGGTTTTAGTGAGTTAATCTTTTGTTATGGTAGGTGCCGGTAGAGGATAAGGGCCATTTTCCCAGGGGACAGAGTCTCACCTGAAGAATGAGGTTATTTAATATATTAATCTTCATAGTCCTGCTATTACTAGTAGAAAGATGATATCCATCCATCCAACTATCACATATTGAATGCTTACTATATGCTAGATACTTTGCTAAGGCATCTGGAATACAATGATGTGCAAGAGATAATCTCTGCCCTCAAGAATATTAGTCTAAAAAGGAAGACAGACATAGAGATAGCTAATTATAATATATGAGGAGGAGCACCTATGGTTAACTGTTGGAGGATCTGGGGCCAGAGTTCTAGGCACAGAGAACAGGGTGAATTTTGTGATTGAGAATTAATAAAATACAGATACTACAAACCAGCCTCTGAGAGGTAGAAGTAGTTTTAGTGATTAGAATGTTTTGTTTCCTTTAGTGTGATGATACATGTATATCCCATCATGGGGATGAATAGAATTTTCCTGTGTAGTTGGCCCTCTGCATATGAAGGTGAGAGACATATGGTTTCGTATTATCTATTACACAGCAAACTTATGAGCAGCTTCAGAGGTATAGCCAGAACCAGTTCTTTATTTACCGATTATTGCCTGCATTTTCTTCAATTACATGATGCAAGATTTATTGTGTTGCACTAAGCTTCTCCATTATAAGTTTTCCCCAAGTCTCCCTTAAGTACCTCCTGTAGCATTAAAGATTATCACCATAAACTTATTATCTCAAGGTTTTTAGGTCGCCAAAGTGTTTGAAAGATACTAAGAAGTCAGTATGGTTTAAGATGCTCCTGTCTATCGCTAAGTTTTGGGGATAAGGCCATATAGCTAATTTTTACGTTTATGAGTAGTTAGTATATGTCAAAACACTGTGTAAATACCTCCTTTCTGTATCATTTTATAAAATATTTTATTTTTCCTATAAACTCTTTGTCTGCTTTTAGAAAAGGAACTATAACTTTTACTTCATTGAACATAATTTGCATTGAGCATACTTTAAGTGCTTAATATTTGTTAATTCTTTTTTATTTGCCCGCAAATTATAGTGAAACGATCTTGAATTTGGATTAATTTAAAGCTCCATTTATATTATGGTTGTTTAGTATATTAATTACATAAAAGATAATGATATTTGAAATATATGTTTCACTAAGTTATAAAGTTATCTTTTCTGGAGATCTTTTAGGTTTTAATTTAATGTAATTGCATTATAGGGCATGTCTCAGACTACCAGGGCATACTGAGTTTTGTTAGAACTAACAAGCTGAGCTTTGTCAAGGAGCAAATATGGAATCCTTTTTTTAAAAATCATGCCCTAGAGGGTTAGTAGTTTCTTTATTTGGCAGCTACAGAAAATTGCATTTCCACTTTCTAATTGTAACTCACTTGTCCTCTTTACGCTGAATGTTGTTATTCAGTGTGGGTAGGTTTAGACTGCAAAACTCATGATAGTAGTAAAGATCACATGGTATAAGTTAAGAAATAGGGATAAACAATTATTGCATGCC